GCAAAGGATTCCCCACCACCCGTATGTAAATTTGTTTCCCACTATTAGCTGTTTCTAAATTATTCCCACGTGGCGCCTAGCGATTGGCTTGCTAGCCGTATAAGAGGCTTGAGCTGTTTCCGCCCAAGTTGGAGAACTCCGAGGAGAACACCGCAAGGGAGGACTCCACAACCATCTGGAGGAGGAGAACTTCACGTCTTGTGAAGATCTCTAAGCGCTGCGGAGCCTATCGAACCCAGCGCAGGCTATAGGGGTCTGATCAACCTCTGGCCTCTCCCCGTTGCCGAACAATCCCTTGACGTACCCTTCCCTGCGTGCAAGTTCCACGGAGCCTAGCAAACTTCGTGTGAGTGTATCCAGAGTTCTGCCCGGGTTTGAGTCCTGCAGGTTTATCTTCCCGTCGCCGAAAACCCATTGCAACGTACTCTCGTGTTTTGCATCTGCCCGTCGCCGAAAACCCCCTGCGACGTACTCTCGTGCCCTGCAGGTTCGAGTTTTGTTTTGTTTTGTTTTGTTTTGTAACTGCAACTCAAGCAAGTTTTCCTGCCTGCACCGCGACCATCTTCGGTGCAAGTAAAATAATCTTTAATCAACCGCTAAGCGTCTGTGCCTAATTCTAGCCCGCCGGCCTGCATTCCCTGACCCGGCGTGTCCGGGCTGCTGGCCTCAGCCCGCCGCGCACAGGCCCCCGAGGGCCTCAGACCACTCCCGGCCCGCACAATGTGGAATTTCACTTGTTCCCAAAACTTGGGTGTGAGGAACCTACAATTTGTAAACAGTCTTCTGTTGACACTTCGGAAGCAAAATAGAACTCAGAACTGGGTCTTGTATCTTACTTGATTTTTAAAAGAAGTTTTTTACTTCAGTGTAGGTCTTTGATCTATGTTCAGGGTGTGCATTCCCCATAAAACTGTGTAGGTTAGCTATTGTTTTCTTGATGGCCATCATTGGCTGTGCCAAAGAGGAAGAATGGTCTTACTAAACTAGAATGGTATCTAGTCTGTCAGGTAACCCACTTGATACTTGCACATTTACCAGGATGTATTGTATTCATATCATAAAGTCAAAATTTGTTCTTAAGATTAACCACAAAGGTTTGATTTCAGCCTGAAAATTCCAAACTAAAGGTTTTTCACACTTCAGTTGCATTTGATGCTGTGCATTATTATATGAGACACGACACATTTGTCATTAAATTTAGACAGTATGTTTGCAGTGCAGTCATCTGAAGCTATTTTTTTCAGTGTTTGTCACTTGCAATGAATGTTCTGCTAAACTATTGCTAAAAAATAATTAGTTACTTATTAAATGAAGGACCATTTTAAGTTCCCTGAAGGATTCTTACAATTGGGATGTTCATCTGGTATTTGAAGTGGTGTTTGTTGTGGTAGATTTGGCAAGAACATGAAGACCTCTTCATTGCTGATTTCTGACTTTAATGAGTTACTCAGTTGGGCTTTTATTTGGGTAGCAGATTTCTTCCAGAGAAGGAACCTTGAACAAAACTTTTCTGTACTTGCCTAAGAAACAAATGCTAATTACATCTCTCTTTTTTTTTTCCTCAGCTGTGAAAGAATCCTTACCAGCAGATCTACAAACAAGGAAAGAGAGAGATGTGTTAAATGAACCTCGACAAAAATTGAGAATATTTTATCAGGTACTGAAAATGTAATAACAGTAAAACCCAAGGGAAATGTGTGAGAATTATGTAGAATATAAATGCTTGGGCTGGATTCAGATTTCCTGTTGGCTGAATGCAACAGGAGATATTTTAGTTGTGCTTGTGGTAGTCTGATTTAGTGCCTAACTATAGAGATCCCAACAGGTCTGAGATCTACAGATGTAGATGAGGCATCCACTTCTGTGCTCCTAGCTGTTCTAATGGGGACTATTTAAGATAATCATGCCCATCCCTGTGCATTTGGGAGCTGCTGTGCCCACTTATGAAGGGAGGTGGGGTGGATTTCAGAAGTGATCCCTTGTTTGTGAGGCACAGATTCACTGTAGGTAGAATCATAGAATCACAGAAAGGTAGGGTTGAAAGGGACCTTAGGAGGTCATCTAGTTCTAGTTCAACCCCCTGCTCAAAGCAGGACCTCCCCCAACTATATCATCCCAGCCAAGGCTTTGTCTAGCTGGTTCTTCTCTTCTCTAGACTAAATAAGCCCAGTTCCCTCAGCTTCTCCTCTGAAGTCCTGTCCCCCAGCCCCCCAAACCATTTTTGTTGTCCCCTGCTGGACTCATGAAGTCCTGTAGTTTTCACCCTCTGATCTTGGCCTCTACTGCCAAAAGATTGAATCCATGTGGATACTTGTTTTCCAAGGTAATTTTTAACTTGGTTTTGGGGGTGGAGGATTTATGATTGAAATATACTAGATGTACTAATGCCAGCTTTTCTTATTTGCATTAGTTCCTTTATAACAACAACACAAGACAGCAGACTGAAGCCAGAGATGACTTACATTGCCCATGGTGCACGTTGAACTGCCGCAAACTTTATAGTTTACTCAAACATCTCAAACTTTGTCACAGCAGATTTATCTTTAATTATGTTGTAAGTCATTTTTACGGTATTTATCCATGTGAATCATGACACAATCTGTTACAGTCTATACATACTGCGGTGACATCGGGATTCTGTTCTGAGTCAGATGGGGCCTTCAACATCTATCTGTAGGTCATACACAGTAATTCCCTTTAGAAATTAGTTAACCGGACTTCAACAGATGTGTGTGGGAAGCCCTAATTATGCTCAGATTAAAACAGATAAATTGCCTTAATATTTAAGGCATTCAACCCATTCAAATTTGGGTTATATTTTTGAGAGAGAGATGCCCCAGTTGCTGCTTTTTGCTATTATGCAATCATTTATAAAATGTAGCAACTAATTTAATTTAGACTTGGTTGGAAATACTGTGAGTCTTTTAGGAAGGAATTAAATAACATTTCAAGTCCTCGTTAATTTTAATTTCCATAGTAAGAAATTGTTAAAGGTTACTTGGGAGAAGGGGAATTGTTTCCAGTTGTTTCAGTGATTATTATTACTATTTTTAGAGTCCATCAAAATTGAAATCTCATTTACTTAATCCTGAATGGTTTTGTCATTCTGTTGATATCTTGCTAATCTTGCAGCTTCATTGCTTCAAGATCTAGGTAAAATGTAGGGGTACAGTTGCTGGGTTTCCTAAAAGAATCTTAAAACTTCTGAGAAGTTAGGAGTTATCATTTCTGTATTGCAGTATTCTGAATATTGACGTAAAGTTTCACAATGAAGCAAAGTTTTTGTAGGACTGATGGCTTTTATTTTTAAATCTTGGGGCAAAAAGGAGAAGGAATGAGTGGCTTATTTGTTTGTAAAAGCAATATTTTATGGGGGAAGAATCTGAAACTACAGCTGCATGGGGGATGTAATGCTAAGGATACAGTGATTCTGTAAGGCATTCAGAGTTTGTACAGTCACTTTTTTCTAAAACTTTTCAGTAGACTGAAGGGGACACATTCTATGACATGATATTTTTTTCATTGCACTAAGCACGCTTATTGTTATTTATTGCAGTATCATCCAAAAGGTGCTAGAATAGATGTTTCTATCAATGAGTGTTATGATGGTTCGTATGCTGGAAATCCTCAGGATATTCATCGTCAACCTGGATTTGCTTTCAGTCGCAATGGACCGGTCAAAAGAACTCCTATCACGCACATACTTGTATGCAGGTAAGTGGATGAAAAGTGAAGTGGTGGTCTCTGTATAGTACATGTCTAAAACTCTGCCTTTATGGACCCATTGGATTTGGGAAAGTTGCAAGTGAAGTTTACCTGTCTTTGAAAAGTAAGTGTAAAGTGGTATTGAAAGATGATGTCATCTTCATCAATGACTTGCTATAAGATTTGTTTTTAAGTAGGTAGTTTTTGTTGTGCACTTCCCAAAAGAGTCTTCCTGTGATCTGAATGTTAGAGTCTGGCTCACGCTTCTCCAGTGATGTTCACAATTCAAAAATCAACATAAATATTAAATTAGATGTGCAAGATAAAACAACCTATTCTTTTCCTATAGGGATTAGCTCGTCAGTGCTAATGGGGGTAAAAAGCTGCAAAGATGGGAGGAATCCTGCTCCTTATACAGTTCAGTAAAAACACAGTATTCTTACATGTTTCCTTTCACATGACAATAACTGTGCTCAAATTGTTATGCAGCTACTTTCACAATTAGTGGGTTGGGGGTATTTTGGATCTAAGATGAGGATTTTTCCCCATTTCAGCATCTTTGTCTTGGATTTTGACTACAAGGCAGAGGGCAGAGAACAGGTGGCTGCTGCAGCTCTGACTCTGGTCCTGAGTCCAGGTCAGGACAAGTCAGAGTCACAGCAGCTTCCTACCCTTCTACAGCCTCTGCCCCCTCCCCTTACTGTCAGACATGGCTCCAGCTCCATTCCTTCCTGGGCCACAGAGTACATGGAAACTCCAGCCCCTGGATGCTACTGCGTGGCCAGGCAGGGGCCATGTGTTCTGTGCCCTTGCGGGTGGGGGTGGGGGGAGGGGGAATTTAAGATAACCCTCTGATAATTAGATTCTATACCTAGAAAATTATAACAAATTTATACATTTTCTATATATAGAATCTACTTAATTATTGGGAGGTTGTCCTAAATTTTGAAGTTGTCTTGGACTTTGGTAAATATGGTATTGATATCTTATGCTGGTTTACAAAAACTAGTACCAGAGATAATTACAGCCTAATAAAACGACAAGTTTTCTTAGTCACACTGCCCAGTGTTTTTTAACAAAACACTATTAGTCAATCTAAGAACTAACATGGAAAGCGTTCTTAGTTAGGTTTTTTTTGTTTTGTTTTTTATAGGCCAAAGCGTACAAAAGCAAGCATGTCAGAATTTCTTGAATCTGAAGATGGAGAAGTGGAACAGCAAAGAACATACAGCAGTGGGCATAATCGATTATATTTCCACAGTGACACGTGTTTACCTCTCCGTCCGCAAGAAATGGAAGTAGATAGTGAAGATGAAAAAGATCCTGAATGGCTGAGAGAGAAGACAATTACTGTAATTATTCTACTTTTTCAAAGATATAGTTAATCAGATTTTACCTAAATATCTAGCAGATGGCTCCAGTCTGTTTTGCCAAGCAGCCATACTTTCTGATGGGCTTCAATCAGAAATCCAAATAGTGCATATGTATTACTCTGGCCATCTTAAGTTCACTATGTTGCTTGGCCTTATGGTTAAATAGAGAAAGTCTGAGTTGCACACAGAATAGTAGTATGTACAGCAATGAATTCTTGAAACCAAAGTCTTTACAGTGCCTGTCCTGATAGAAGTACTTTGATTAATTTACAGTTATTTCTATGATGTCAGCTGAAAAGGGGGAACATAGAGAACAAGAACTGAGCTTACTAACCTTGGAATTCTAATGTTTGTTTTGGATATATTTCACTACAGCAAATTGAAGAATTTTCTGATGTTAACGAAGGAGAGAAAGAAGTGATGAAATTATGGAATCTACATGTTATGAAGCACGGGTATGTTAGCTATTTATAAAATGTCTATTTCTAGTAAGTTAAACCATTTATTTGCATTGTTACTGAATTTTAATACATATTCATATTTGTATGCATTAACCATTGCATATTGCCCATCTTTTTTCCTTGTAGTAAATTATATGGGTTGTATTTTTTTGACAGGGTACTGAAATTTGGTTGCAGTTCCTAAAGGCTGTTGCATTTGGCTTAGGTTTTCTTTTTTGTTTTCCCCTATAGCTAACATTTCTAATTGTACCTCTTGATCAGAGGGAGCAGGGAGTATTTAGAAACAGTATGTGCTAGCTAAATTGCAAGCTGTTTTGGGGAGGAATGCAGCAACTTTTTAATAGCGTGCAGTAATGCTATGTAACTTAAAATAAGTGGAAAATGCTGTTGTTTCTCAATGGAACCCAGAGAATGAATTAAAGCAGACTGGCTTCATCTCTAGAATTAGAATTGGCCAGTGCATTTGTCCTAATGTCACATTTTTAGAAAATGTTAAGTAGAACTACCCAGGGTCTTGGATGAGAGAGATAGAAACGAGGTACTGTTCTTGCCAAATAGTATTATACGTGTAAAACAAGATGTTTGGTTGACTTTTTTTCGTCATAATGCTCTAGGGCATGGGCATGTGCGCTGCAGTTATTGTGTAGGGTAAAAACATTCACAGCAAATTAAAATGGACTCTAATCATATCTTACTGCCTTTTCAATGAGTGGTAAGTTGCTGTGGGTCAACTGTCATTGTGGGTCACTTGTCTGTGTGCTCACACCCCTGAGTCTGTTCATTTCTAGCCTTAGTTTTTTGCAAAGCCAGACGAAAAGAAATAAAATCCCATGTGATGCGAGTGTCACTCCTCCTGTGGCTAAGACCCAGGGACCCTGAAAGCTGGCTTGTGGGTTGTAGCTTTACTAAATAACTCGCAGATTCTATACAAACCATCCTCTAGAACTGCTCTACAAGTATACGTAAGGATGCCCAGGTGTTTGATACAAATCCCATTTAAAACTTGGTATAGATTCTTGGTTCAGCCCATATAAGTATCAAAACTTTAAAATAGCGAGGTGAGCTGCTGAGAAGTTACTTAAATAAATAAAGGTAACATGCCACTCGTGTGTTATGTTCTGAATGAGAGCCTTTGTACCCAGCTCTGGCACTATTACAATATTGGTGGTTGGACCATATAACTGATTTACTGTGCATTCACTACCGTATTGCCTTTTTTTTTTTCCTTCCCCTCCCCACCCTGTTTTGTTTCCATACTAACAAATGTTTTTTATGTTGACAGGTTTATTGCTGACAATCAAATGAATCATGCCTGTATGCTGTTTGTTGAAAATTATGGACAGAAAATAATTAAGAAGAATTTATGTAGAAACTTTATGCTTCACCTGGTCAGCATGCATGACTTTAACCTCATTAGCATAATGTCAATAGACAAAGCTGTTGCCAGGCTTCGAGAAATGCAACAGAAATTAGAAAAAGGAGAATCAACTACCCCAACAGATGATGAGTTTTCTGAAGAGCAAAGTGGGACAACAAATGGATACAGTGAAAATAACACGAGAGAGAGAGTTTCAGAAACAGATAGTGTCTCAGGGGTCACAAAACAGAGCAAAAAACAAAAGCTCTAAAGGTAAAGGTAAATGCCATTCAACGGACAAACATTGAAGTGACGTTCTAGGGTGCATGAATTCTATAAAGAATTAAACAGAAATATTACACAGGTTCCAGACAGGCACTGTTGAGTGGAAATAAATAAATGATTTCAACAAGGATATTGTTACAACAGGGTTTCTCTTCAGTTAATTATGCAAGTACTACATGTATATCAGTTTTAGTGATGTAATGACAATATTCTAAGACTTGGAGCATGAAGAGCAATACAGAAATCTTTTGTAATTTTAGTAATTAGTGTCTTATGAACTCTATTGAATTTTCATAATTTAAATATATGTAAACCAGTTTTTATATTAAGGTTTTTTGCATCTGTATCTGGCTGTTTTCCTACCTTGGATTTGTGAAACATTGGGGAAGGGGACTGGGATATAGTTTATATTTTTTTTTTTCTTTTAAAAGAAATTCTCCAGTTAGCTTTTTGTGAGCATATGCATCATTACTTAAAGGTTAACCTTGATCCTTGTTTTTTTGAAATCATTTATCAATGTACTATCAAGCTACACATTGAGAATTTTTTTACACTAAACAAATTTTGAAGGTTTGCAGACTTAACGTAGCACTTCTTTGTCTCATGCCTGTTTGGAAAGACCTTGGCTTTTCCTGTTGCAGACACAGTGAAGTCCCATCTTGACTTCCTGTGGTTACCGGCAGTTTGATTTTTGTGGATAATTCTGATGTATTGATCACCCAGTGTACCATTTTAAACTTGAACATTAACTCCTTTCTAGTTTGATTACGCATTTACACAGCTACACAAGTTATTTGGTGTCTAGCCCTTTTCATTAGGGTTTCATTATAGCGTGCCATGCTAAGGCTGAGAGTCTGCAGTCAGTATGGAGGCATTACTCAGATGAATTTCTGATGGCGTTAGGCCTGCTGTTTTGCCTGAGTACAGACTGCAGAGGCAGGCCATAGGTTTAGCTTGGGCTTTTTGAGATGCCACTCTTGAGGAAAAATGCACTGTAAAATTGGACCAGAAAATGTGTTGCACTTCTTATGCAAGTATTCTGTGATGTATTGTATTCAATACAGATACTAAAATGCTGACTAAAATATGTTCGAGCAGTTCTGCACTGCTGTTAACACATTTTATGCATACGTTTACAGATTTTTTTCCAATGGAAAGTGGTTTCACTACTGGTACAGTATCAGCACCGAAGGTTTTATTCCAGCAAGCACTGTGGTTGAGTGACATCACCTCAATTTTTTATTATCCTTAAGATATTGCATTTTTCATATTCTTTATTTATAAAGGAACAATGCTGCTGTAAATACAGGTATTTTTAATTTTTTTTATTTCATTCCATCACAATCAAATGCAGTTCCCTATTTTGTTTAAGGGGTATATAAGCTTTCTAACAGTGTCTTCAGAAATTTATAAAATGTAAATACTGATTTTGATGGTCCTTAAGATGTGTTTAACTGTGAGACTATTTAACTAATGGTGTGGATGTGATTTGTCATCCAGTATTAAGTTCTTAGTCACTGATTTTGTGTAAAAATAGGAAAGAGGGAAACTGCAGCTTTCATTACAAACTCTTTGATTTGCCAGTTATTTGAGTTATAGCAAACTCATAATTATGCCTCTGAATAGTACATCAAGCATTTCTCTCTGGCTTTAATTTGCTAAAGCTGTGCACATATGTAAAAAAAAAAAAAAAAAAAAATAGATTATTTTAGGGGAGATGTAGTTCTAGAATTATTGCTTATGTCATTTCTTAAGCAGTTATGCTCTTAATGCTTAAAAGAAGGCTAGCATTGTTTGCACAAAAAGTTGGTGATCCCCAAAAAATAGTAATGAAATTACTTCTGTCCAGTAAACTTTGTATGTCATGTCAATTTATAATAAAAGCTGAAAAAAATCCCTTTGTTTTCTATTTATAAAGATGCCTTTTCTATATGTACCCTTAATGAGAGATTTTGAAGAAATCATGTAAGCTGGTTAAAAAGCATTTGAATGGTACAGTAGATGTAAAGAGAAAAACCACATTCAGTTGTTTAAATGAACCTTTGTTTTTACATTAAATGTTTATTTGAAATCAGATTTTGTACATAAAGTTCAGTAATATAAAATCTGCCATGATGGTTGTCCAGTCATTTTGTGTGCATGCAAAAAGGCCACAAGCAGTACCTAGCAGTAATACTGCAACTTTGTTTTCAGTTTGGACCACATTTTTAGACTGTCATGATTCTGAAATCTGTTTTGGAGTTTCATACTGTTGTTCCTCCGTGGATATCTGAATGCACTTATCCCATAAAGCTGGTGATGGGAGTTCATGGAGTTAAATGAACTGCTTTGGAGTTCATGGAGTTAAATCCTCTTTTGGGAGGTAGAAACTCTGCTTACAATTTCTGTTTTGAGGATGGGTGTTTAATTAGATGGTGGTGTCTGCAAGCATAGTGTAAATAGTAGCAGTGATTTTTGAGGCACAACTGCAAAAGTGAAGTGCATCACAGTTGGCTCATCACATGTTGGCAAAACCACTAGTTTGGACTTCCATGTGCTGCGCTTGTATTTCCTTTGCCAATGATTAACCCGTTATAGTTGATGTACTCTCGGCCATGAGACTTGTGGGCCAGGAATGCTTTTACTTTACCTGAATGAAAAGTTATATTTACAGTAGTGTTACATAATGAATGAAAAACGGTTGACCTTTTAGCCCACTGATTTTTTTTAATTAATAATCTCAGTTCAACAGCAGCCTTTTGGCTTGTATAATGAACATGATGCTCATCAGTCTAATGGTATTGAATTAATAGACAGTGAAGAAAACTAACCTGTTCTTCCCATTCAGAATAGTGTAGATGCTGAAGGTTAGGGTTGACTTCTCAGCTTAGTTGCTTAGAACTAACTAGGGTCTCCACACCTATAATCTTAAGTAGCAGCAGGTTTGATATGTCTGCTTCTGAGAAACTTGGAGGGGGAGTTAGGTATTTTCAAGTAAGCCTTTTGCTGTATGCATATTTGAACTCGTGCAAAGAACCTTATTTGAACTCTTGGGATCTTTACTTCTTTAAGACCAAGGTTTTGCACTGAGCTATCATTTCTAAGATGATGATAGTTCAGGAATAACATGGGTATATAGAGAAGAGGTGCGATTGTCCTGTCATTTTGCTCCACCACCAAAGGCAATTCATAGAAGACCTATGGGTGCCTGTCTGGAAGCTGTCTTCAAGCCTGTGCATTTCAGCATTGATCTGAGAAGTGTTGTTGATGCTGAGTATGGAATAACACTGCCACTTGTGCTATGTTCCATATTCAGGGGCAATTGTCACCTTCAAACTAAATCTCCCAAGATTTGGCCAGTGCTCCAGATTTGTCTGTGTATGAAATGGTGATATTACTGCTAATAAGGTAGAATGGGCTGAGGGAATCTAGGGCAGCATTTTTGGCCAGAGTGCCAGAATCACCCCAACCTCCACCCATGCCCCGTTGGGGGAGCCACAAGGGGCCTGATCCTTATTGTTGGCGGTGGCTACACTCATGCCTCTGGATGGATGGCAGGAGAGGGGCTGGGGTTGCACTGCCCCGGCCCATTTCCTGCCATGCGCTGCAAGCCATGGGTGCACCTGCTGCCATGGAACTAGTGCTGGGGCTCCAGAGCCTAGCACAGCTGTTTGCAGCCTGCTACGGCCCCACCACTGGGTCCATGATGGCAGCAGCTGCACACATGCCTCTGGTCAGATAGTGGGGGAGGATCCAGGGTTGCTTTGCCCCAGACCCCTTCCTGGCCATGTGACCAGAGGCGCGTGCACAGCTGCTGCAGCCATGGAACTGGTTTGGGGGCTGTGGAGCCCCATGCAGCTGTTTGCAGCTGCCCAGCTGCAGCTTGCCAAGGCTGTGGGTAGCTGTGGAGGAAAATGGCCTTGTGCCATGCGTGCCAGGGGTTGCTGATCCCTGACTTAAGAGGTTGTTCAACTGAGGGCACTTGTATAAGCAGACAGGATTGGTAATTGGCAGGTTAATTCCCCATCACTTGCGTATCAAGTGTAGTAAGCAGCACCTCTTCAAAAGGACTCTGTTGATCTTGCAGCCAAGACCTCAAGATGCAACTGAAAAGAGCATCTGAAAGATCCTTATGCACTCTTGAGTTTTGTTTGCACCTCAGCTAACAGTCTTTTAACAAAAGTTAGATCTTGCAGTCCTAGGAAAGCAGTGCAAACTTGGAATGCAGCAAGAACTGAATTTAATAAAATATGCAATGACACTTTTCTTGTTAATCTGGTAAATTGCATATGAATATCGCTGTTGAATGTAGGTAGTTTGACCCCACCGTACAGTCAGGGGTACGTGAATGTCCTGATTATGGCACAGGACTCGAGCTGGTAGATCTTGGTGACAAGGCGGCAGTGTGGAGTTTCTACCAGAGTGGTCTGGAGTGTATGTCTCACTAGTACCAAGAGATGGGTTTTTTGGTCCTAACAACATAAGGGAAAACTGCCATCTTGTCTCGACTGGAGACTTGCCCTGTACTAAATGGCCACAGAGGAGGCAGTGTTTGTTTAGTCCTGACCAGTTGGTGCTTTCCATAAAGATACCTCTGGACACTGCAGGACACAATTTTTCTAACTGGAAATCTGACATGACAGGGTACATCACAGGAAAGCAGCAGCTCCTAAACTTCAGGTTTTCCTCCCTTTGCATGGTGTGATCCTCTTCCCACGAGGATGAAATATATGGCCTTTTTAACAATACTGAATTTTCCCAAGTTTAATGGCTGGTAGAGAAATAGCTTTATATATAGGATAACTGTAATAATTTTAGGAAAATCTGGGATGGAGGTGCCAACACATGCATGTGTCGTCCATATGTGTCTATCCCGTTCCCCACCCCCTTACAGCTTCCAAGGGAGGGGTGGGACAGGGAAGAGGCCTGTAGTGGAGCTCCATCCCCCATATGCAGGGACTGGGAATGGCCCCTGTGCGGTGTCCCCTGGCCTCCACCAGCCCGTGCTGCATGGCCATACAGTGCCTTGCACTGCTGTCAGCAGTCAGCTGGGGTGCAGAGCCCAGAGCTACACTGCTCCCATCCCAACCAAAACATGGAGGGGGAGGAACTGCTTAAGGCAGGGGTCTGAGCCCTGGGCTCTGGAAGGTGGTGGCTGTTCCCTGGTCCCAATGCCAGGAGTCAGGCATGTGTAGGCAGGTTTTTGCCCACCTGGTACTTTTTGCTTCAGTTTTCTCCAACGGCCAGCTCCCTGGCCCCGATTCCCCAGGGCTGCAAGCAGAGTTGCTTGCTCAGTAGAATCAGTCAGGAGCCAGGCATGTGCAGGCAGGTTCCTGCCAATCCGGGACTTGTGTTTCACTTTCCTCCAATGGCTGGGACAGACAGCCTGCGAAATTGGGGATGTATGGTCATCCTATTCATGTAGTCCATGTGAAGAAATGGGTCTTGTGATCTTAAGGAGGAACTTCAGTAGTTTAGAGCAAATCAGTGTGCCATGAAATTCTTTCCAGGGTGCCATGCAATGTGAGCTGTTAGCTACACAGGGTTCACAAAGTAAATTCAAACAGGAATCCATAGTGTCAAAAGTATCCTGACCCGTTGTGGTCTTTCTGATTTTTTGCAACAGAAGCATCACTTTCCTGTTTTTCTGCACTCAGAAAATGAGTGAAAACTTAAGAGCTGGCATCTTCCTAGTGGTGACTTGAGTCCAACAAGGTTGAGAACCACTGGCTTAGAGGTTGAGTGGCTACTGGAGTGGGTCAGAAAGGTTATTTGTGCTTTCACTGGGAATAATTGGCACTGGATTCTTCTAGAGAATATGTATTGACTGCCACTTTTAAATAAAAGGGGTAGAGGGATGGAACAGTCTGCATGCCGGGGGGGGACAGTAAATCAGGGACCCATATTCATTCAGTATGCCAGGAAGTGGGGAGGCTAGACTTCCACACAAGCAAATATAGCAAGCCTGCTTTTTGACAAGCCAGAACAGGAAAACAACCATTTTGTTGAAAACTGACGGTAATGAGCACAGAAAGAACTGTCTGAAGCACGCTGTGTGTATTCCTTAAAGGTGTTTGAATGAACAGTTCAGAAATACATCCAGAAAACTAAGGGTGCCAGTGGAAGCATGTGACTATGTGGTTATACTTGCACAAAAAGGTATTTTGAGAGGGAAACAGAAGGCATAGAGGAGTTACCAATGTATTAGCGAGTTGAAAACTTGTAGAGCTAAAGGATGCACAGAAAAACAAAATGAACTAAGGTAGGGGGAAATGCCAATCTTCCATTCCTGAGGCTTTTCTGAACAAACTGTCTTAAGTGCTAATGTACACGCTTCAGTACCAGGTATTCTGACTATGGTGGGCCTCTGACTATGGTGGGCCACTGACTGCCATCCAGAAAGAATGCTAGTGTAAAGCTGTTGCTAATAAGGACTTGTTTCATGGATAGCAAATCTATATAGTGAAAGACTAATGTGGAGGCTGTATAGCCAACTGCATAGTTGTAAAGATTTAATGGTCCTGTCCTATAGGAGAAATAAATATGAAGCTAATGGTCTGACAAGGCTGTCCCATTGCAGCATGCAATGGGATGGGGGAGCTGGTGGCACAGAGACCAGGGAGCTTAAGGTGGGGTGAGGGAGCAACCACTTGCTTGCCCACATGTAGTGCACTGGGATGGGGGAACTAATGCGTGTGGGGTGTAGGGTGGGAGACGGCTGCCTGCTGCTTTGAAGTTGAACAGCCCTGATCTATTAAACCAATTCCACTAGACCAGGGGTTCCCAAATTGGTTCACATACCCCTTGGGGTACACAAGACACTGGGGTGGGAGAAATTGTGTAATGGTAGATTTAATTTTCATTATAATTGGCATTGGCATTTAAGGGGTTAAAATAAGTATGCTGGTAGGGGGTATATAATGAGAAGAAAAATTGGGAATTGCTGCACTGGACCACATGCACTGAGTCATCAACTTTTATTTTAAAAAATTCTTCACATAAAGACAAACATCTCTATTAGTTGAGGTAAGTGAACATGATGGCTTCAGAGACTACACTTGGAAAGCTTCATGGCAGGTTTAACAGTGTTTGAAGGCCTCATACATTACAGTATTGGAGTCATAGGAACCTTTTAGCGAGAGAATTCTCCAACTAAAGGGAGAGGATTGTAACAGGAGTTGAACAGTACCCACTTAATTTTGCAACCTAGGCTACCTGTCCTCACTTCAGAAAACTAAATCAAGCAAGTGATGGATCTACTCAAGCCTTTCATTTGAAGAGATGATCTGATGACTACTAAACTCACTGACACACAATGACATGCTGGCTCTTCTCATAGCTACATTTTTGAAAGAGTTCACACAGCACTTCCTAGCACAGAAGTACTGTGAACCTTATACCAATAGCCCTATAATTATTCTGCTTCACCTGAGTGTAACATTAATATTTTAAGCCTTTTCATAACTGCAGGAAAAAATACTTGCCTCTCTTAAATCTGTGAGTACCCACAATTTTGAGAAAGCAAACAGAGGTTGAGGTCTGTCAGAAGCAAGTCTTTACAGCTAATATTTTGACTCCTACAAGCAAAGGATCAGCACTACTTCCTGGAAAAAAGTCTAGGGTGTGAAATCAGAGCTATATTCTGCTATTAGCTTCAGTGCTATCTTCACCTTTGGCAGACTGCACTTTCATAGCTACAAGTAAAAATCTACACAGAAGAAAACTGCTTGTTGAACCTTTTTCTTCCATTCAAACGGAGACTGAGGAAGAGGCATTTCTTTAGGAAGATAAGGTAGAAACTGCTGTGTTCCAAGATGAGCAGTTCTCCATGATTATCCTTGCCCCTACTACAGCACTGGTCACCTTTTTAAAGGCAAAATATATAAAATACAAACACTGAGTGACTTAACTTTGAGAATGTACAGGACAGATACAGCTAACATGAGGATATTAACACTGAAGAAATAAGGCAAGGCATGATTGTCTGTGACTAGAGATAAAGCTTTTTTTTCAAAATATTGCCACTTTTTTTTTTTAAATGCCAAAAAATACTTTATAGAAAGCTTGCTTTTGAGGTAAGGAAAGCTTCTTACGTATCATTTATGTTGGGGCCCTCCCAAAGCATTTAGTAAATGCTTTGTATTAAGTCAAGTCTTGACTAGGAATAGAACTTGTTTAGACAAAGTCCTTATTGTAGATGTGAGCTCCTACTTAATACTGTAGCTTCAGTTGGCTTTTATAAGAATGCTGTACAAGTTCATAGTAAATCCCTATAAAACACCAAGTTAGCAACATTTGCTCATCTTTGCTTTAAGCTTTGCAGAGCTGCTGGTACTACACTGCAGCCGTCAGCATGGTCCACCTTATTTATTATGGAAAACCTATTCCAAAAAGGCTATACACGATGCTGTTCAAGAAATACCTGAAACTAAGGCACATCTGCAAAGAACCAAGACATTTAACACATTGACTACATCTTGAAACAGACATCTAGGCTCAGACACCCTTCATCTGGAGAAGGGTCAGTACCACATCTGGAGGAGAGTGCTGTCATTAGTAGAGAGACTACTGGTTCAGATTTTGAACGGTGCAAGTTACAGCACTTTGTGAAAGTAAGCCTAGCTGAATTTCCCTGCTGTAAGATAATTTGCTCTTATTGCAAGTGGTATAAATAAGACTTTGGTCCACTAATGTCAAGCCAGAGTTTGCAGGCTTGTTTCACAGAACAGCCACACTAAGCAAGTTAGAGATGCACTTGCTGTGTAAAATTAAGCTGGAGTACAATGGAACACTGACAGAAGTCTAGAAAAAAGAATACAAAACCTTTAAAGGATTTATCACAAAATTAGTTCAGCAGAAGAAATAAATGCCCGTTTTACTTCCTCCTTCCTCTACCCCAGGTTAAGTGGGTCATTTTTTCCAGCACTCATTTTGAAATAAATCCAGTAAAAGACACAGCATAGGAGAGTTCAAGTAATGTAAAGGTGGGATTTGTTAAACCACAGAGAGACCAACAGCTGAAAATATTTCAGTACTTCTCAGAAGCTAGAACACCAGCACCTTCCAGCCTGGGTAGGAGAATGAACAGCCAAAATACAGAGAACCACATGACTGATCAAGTACCCAATCAAAAACCACTTCCCTGTTGTTAGAACTAATGGTTACTCTCAGTTTGAAGTTTCCTCCATCCTTGGCAGGACCTAACTGCACAATTTCCATGTCAAATGTCACAGTTGATCCAGTAGTTACAGCAGGCAGTTGGTTTGTCATCTCTTTGCCATTTACAAATACAGCTCCTGAAACAGTCCAGATACTACAAGTTATTTATACAGAATATGAAGTACTAGGCAACGTAAAAGGAGTCTTATGACGGCGATTGGCTGCATCACGAAAGCTTCCCCCAAACATGCATCATCCTGTTCAATCTGGTCATCACTCAACTACACCCAGGAAACAGGAACAATTACTTTGTTGCAACAGCTGCACCTGGTTCAAATCTGGTAGCTCTTTCCAAAGGTAACATCAACAAAAGCATTAATCTCTGACTACACTGCTTTCCACAGCAAGTGCATTAACTGAACTAGTCTCTCACTACAGTATCATGACACTAAACTATTACATTCTTCAGTCATATCAATGTGGAAAGAACAGCAGTTCCCCAAGACAGCTATTAACCACTGACTTTTCAAATATAAAATGAGAAACCAGTGTTAAAAATCAGCTTGAGGAATGAGTTAACTATACAGGTAATTTCAGGTTCAAGATTTGTCAAATTGCATAATCTCCATTTTTGGAACTTCCAAGTGCAGGTTAGATTAACATTAGTTCAGGACTAATCCTGCCTTGAGCAGGGGACAGTTTTAGATAATCTCCTGAGGTCCTTCCAGCCCTATTTTTCTAAAATACTAACAGTGCAAATTACACAAGGATTAAATGTCCTACCAACAGCCTGAGTTAACATTAACAAATCAAGGCTATCACAAGCAAGCCATAGGGTCAAGAAACAAAGGTGAAGAAAGCACGGGGTCATACAAATAATCTCAGAATATCATCTTGTGCTGCGGCTGAGGAAAAAGAGAGATGCTTTTCATGGGCTGAGTCTGAAACATCAAGAAAGTGATGTTTGCCAATCCTGCACATTCAGCCACTGCAAGCTCCCAGGGCAGGGACCATGTTTTTAAATGCATGGATAGTGCCTTGCAAGCTTTTGGGTATTCCAGGAATAAAATGGAGCCTCAAGTTGTGCTGGATCCCCACCCTTTTCCTCTCTCACACCAGTCAGAAAAGGGAAAGCCTCCATGAAGCTGCTATCATTTCCCCAAATATCTAACATGGGACCAGTGGGTGGCTTTGTAAAGTACAAAAGCAGAATGAAATGTGCATGCGTTGCCAGACCTTGCACAGAGATGAACCAGTCAACCAGTACCACGGTCTGCTTCCAAAAATGCAGGTCATCATAGCTACAGTTTGACCCTGCTTAGGCTGCTGAAAATTGCTAAAAATTCAGTGGTAACAGATGTAGCAGCCTGGGGGAAATAAGATGTGCACATAGCTTGCACACACACAAGGGGCACAGGCAAGAACTTAACAAACAAAGAAGGGGATGAGATCCTTCAGTAGTACGAAACAAACTCACCGTTGGTGCTAATACACACTGCTTTGTCTCGCTGCAAAGAGTCGTAGCCGTTCTGCTGCTCCACACAAACTCCCAGACTGTCTCGCTTGTCTGACTGACCGACAGTTTCAATTCTATGAAAAAAAAAAAAAAGTGTTCAGAGCTTTGGTTTCAAAGAAAACTAAACAATGAAATCTTCACCACATCTCTTCTACTCAACCCTGGGGAAGCTTCAAATGCTTGCTACAGGTTTTCCAACTATTTCATCCAACTTGTCAGAGATCGTTTCCACTATGTAATTAAGGTCCTTCTATAAGACCCGTTTCCCCAGGGCTCACCTGGGAGAAAGCAGTCCAGCTCTAGATCTGCTTAAAAATCCTCCAAATTTCACTCTTCTCCTCCTCTAAAGAGGCCTTCCTTTAAAGTAGAACAGTGGGGGTTTCAATAGTTTTGGACCTTAGCTGTGCTATGCCATCCCTTAACATTCATGCCAATCCAGGCAGCATCTCAAGTTTGCATTTACTGCAACAGATTACTTGCAATGCTTAGGGCAAGATGCTATCCTTCTATCAGGTGCGAAAGACCCTGTGTCAGCAACAGGGATTCAGGACGCAAGCCTGCTCGAGGTTACTAACAGAGCAGGTGAGGCAGTTTGATTAGAGAAGAGGACAAGACCAATTTATATCTGATGAACAAATGTCTGCTTTCAGGACTGACCACTCGTGTTTGAATGGAAACAGACTTGATCCAGGGCAAAGGCCACACAACCTACATGCTTACGGACATTTCTATAACCAGGTCTGTTTTCTTCTGCCCCATGAGTCATGATTTTGTGTCACTGACCTTTCTTAAAGATGCCAAGTGAAATTTTCAAAAGTACCTAAGTGACATAGGAGCCCAAACTCAATTGATTTTGGAGGAGACGGTCTCCGTAGAGCCCAAGTCACTTTTGAAAATGGGCCTCAGGAGCTTAATTAACTTAGATGCTCTCAAAAGTGTGAAATGCTACATTTCGTTTTTTGTTAAAGACTATGAAAAATGGAGCAGATGCTGAGTGTGTGTCAAACTGTACAAAAAGAGACACAAGTTGAAGCTTCAAGAACTGGAAATTAAATCAATGCAGCCTTTATGCACTGTGTTTGAGAGAGTAACTTAGCAAATTATGAGTTAATTCCTTCAAGACCTGCAGGGCAAATGAAAATTGGAACCACGTTTTCTTCTCATGCTCTGTCAGCCTTTTCTGTCTTCTGGGAACTATCACTGAGATAGCAGGCGGCTTACGTTATAATAAAAAAAAAACAAAGTCCTAAAAGTTTTGCAGTTGGAACTGATCCACAGCGAGAATGTTTTTGTACAAAACAACCTTTGAGGGGATTTGCAATTCCCCTCTGGCATATTTTTGGATTTTAAGTCAGCTCTAGGGACTATATTCAGAAAGCGTGGTAAAGATTTAAACTTACAAATTACCAGCTAGAGTTAACTCCTTTGTATTCAACTAAGAAATGCCAGCTCTCTACACACAGAGCTCTTGTATCGTTGGCTCAGAAGTCAGCATCTTTCCTCAATATATGGGCACAAACTTTCCTGCCCATCTGAAGCAAGTGCACGTTTCAAGCCCACCTGAAGCAAGTGACCACCACTTTGGGCTGAGCTCTCACACACAGGAATACATGTGAATGAGCAAGTTAGGGACTGCTCAGACTAGCAATAGAGGGACAAAGCAGCATTCAGAGAATCAGCAGCTCAACACTTAAAACATAACATGCTAGAACAAAAGCAGCATGAAGGGCCTGGGCACTACGGCAAGAAGTGGAGACGCCAGGCGGGCATCCCAAGAGAAAGCACCATGATCTCCCACCTCTTCCACAAATAGAGCTTAAATTGTGATAAGTCCATAGGCTTATTGAAGGGCACTGGCTCCTTTGCTTCATACGTGCTGTTTCCAATAGCAAAACTACCCAGCTGTCTAGCCCCAGTCAGATGCAGTGAACCTTAGAAATACACAGCGGAAAGCTGGGACCAGCTTTGGCCCAGGACAGTGACATCATCCCCCAGGCCACAAACTCATCCGAGGTAAAAGAAAAGCGTTGCTCTGGGAGGGGGTGCAGACTGCTGTCTCTATCTGAGAGGTCTTTCCACATCCTGATCGTGTGACAAAAATTACAGAACTGCCTCACAAATACCCATAATGGGACCCATGTCCGATCCCTCCAGGAGCCTGCTTACCTCTTGGTGAACACACTGTCGAAACAGATGGAGGAAGCCAAACACCAAGTATTACACTCATCAACCAACAGAATCCTACACGTGCTTTGAAATGGGAAGCTCCCAGGGAGATTGAGGAGAGTGGCATAAACAACCTATGGTTGAAGTTGCGGTTCTCCAACGTCTCCCACTGCACCTTTTGCAGCCACATACCAGTTAACACTCTGCTGCACTGAAACAATCTCCCCATGGCAAGAAACCCTTGAAACCAAACTGCAGGGCAAAGGAATTTTATCTATTATTAATGCCAATGTGTAAGAAAGATATAATCTGGAACAGAACCTAGAAAAACCCAAAGCTCTGCATTTAGTTGCCCAGAGAGTTCTGAGCCAAGGGATAGTAAATCCAGTATTTGCTTTGAGGTAGAAGCCATGTGCCTCTCTACATTCATGTCAGACAATGGCAGGCAAACAGGCTCTTATCCTATGGCCATCTAACAATCAGAGAAAGCACCTGTCAGGAAAGAGGAAGTGAAACATCATGCAGCAAACTCCATAGACAAATGCCACCATCACATCCTGTAAGTTGCCCATGGAGCTTTCTGTGGGACTAGAAAGGACAGGATTGACAATCTGGGTAATTAGAGAAAGTCAGGAAAAAGCCTTGTTTGAGTCTCAATTACAACCATCATTTCTAGTCTCATCTCGTTGTGCCAAATTAAAAACTTAACCCTGAAAGGAAGTTTCCCCAAGAAAGCTTCTCCTCTGAAAGCTTCTCAGCTGAGCTTTAGCTGTTGGTTATAGGGGCTGTCTGATCAGAGATTAGTGGAGGTTCCTCCTACTTAAGTTTTCACAGTATCACATGAAAACAAGTCTCTAAAAACCCTGAGAAAAGTGGGTGGGAAACGTCTGCTGGTGAGGGACCTGATCCAAAGCCAGCTGGAATCAATGAAAGACTCTCAGTCAAAGACTCCCACTGACTTCAGTAGGCTGTAATCAGTCACTAGCAGTTGTGACAAGCCCCACATGCACCACAGTTGTGATAGTTCTAGGCTAAATTTTGCACTTTGCTTCAGTTTCTGTTTAGATGGGGGTGAAGTCTCCAAGACAATGTTGAAAACTGCTCTGAGAAACAAGGAAGTGGAAGTGGAGAGAGGAAGGATCAGGCTCCACACAAGGGGAGGAGCACGCATGAACAACTCCAGCACAGAGAGAGGGCAAAGCAGGAAATTCAGTTTGCATAAGTGCACCGTGCCGTGGTAACAGAGCTTGAACTTGCCTGAACGTTAAAGTCTGCCCGCAGAAGTACGTTGGAGCTTTGGAGTAGAGCACACCAGAGGACTGCGAATCATTTCGAAGTGCTATGTTCCTTCGACTGCTGAGGCTGTAGCCCTCCAAACCAGGTGTCCATTCTACAAGAACAGGAGACGATAAATGCTGGCCCAAATTAAATTCTCTCTCCCAACAAGAGCTAAGCAGCAGTCACCTTTCCTTTTACTTTTGTGAAGCTTCCAGTCTAACGTTAACAAAGCTCTGGAGCTTGAGCTCCCCTGGACTAGGAGTAGAGAAACTTTTCTGCAATGTTTTGAATGACTGCCTAAAAATTAACATGCAGCTGACATGTTGGTGTGGTCACTATAAAATAAGAACCAGAGTATCCAAAGAAAAGCCCTGAGGACTCCAGTGCCCTTATAAAATTGAGGCCAAGGATGACAGAGTTGTCATTTCCAGACAACCTAACATCTAGTCTTACAGACACTGATGTTCTTCTTAGGGGCATAACTTCTTGAAGATGAGGAAGATCTCTCTCATATTTCAGTTTTGACATTCAAACAGCTGGACAAGCTTAGCCAACAACTTTTCTGTGATGGCAACACTGCTATGTTGCTATACCAAAATAATGCAGTAAAGGAGTTCACTGTCATTTAAACCTTCTCACCTCAAGGAACCCTTCCCTCTCCACCTCCCATCTGCTAATCAAATAACCAGGAATACTTGAAGATACATTTGTCCCAGAGCCACTATTTCTCTTTGCCCTCTCTTTGTACTAGAAGTAGTAAATAACCCACAGCCAATGAGCAAGCGGCTTTAAAATTTCTCATAGAGCACTGAACAAAGTTGCACACCTATGCTTTTCAAGGCCAAGCTCCAGCCCAAGCACAAGTCTAAAAGCTACCACTTGTACAAAACAGCAGTGTTGTAGAGGTGCAAACTTAATCATAGGATAAACTCTAAGAACCCTGCCATAGGAGGTATCATAGTGTTCTGATATAACTTGAAGTGTAATTACCTTATGTTCAGATACAAATCAGGAAACCACATGATCTACAGTCAGCACCACACAACAGCACGTCTAGGGCTCTGCACAGACAACAAAGACTTCAAAGATTAATACAAATGCTTACCATGAGGAACTAGCGTTGTACGGCCAGTCTGAGGGATGCTCCATGGACTCCATTCCTGCCTCCCATCACCTCGAGCGCACGCTCGGAACTGGTAATCAATGTTGGGGTCAATCTGGAGCACTATGAACTCTGTCTCTGAGCCAACATACACATCTTCAAAGTGACTGGCAGTACTCCTGCGACACTGAAGCCTGTAGTCTTGAGGTATGAAGTCATCGTCCACCTAAACAGACAGTTATTAGATTATATTTTCCTCTCAAATTCTTTCTATTATACTTTGAAAGAGAATGTACCAAGACAGCACTGCAAATTGGCAGCATATGGTATAGCACTACTCCCATTATTGGAATAGCAGGTCCAGTTCTGCTACATCCAATGCCAGATGAACTGGACAGTGCTCAGAAGAGCCTTTGTTAAAAGGAATGGGATGTATGCCTTACAGCAAGAGATCCAAAGGAGTTCACCAAGTCTTTTAAGAAAGGGAAGCCTATTGTAGCTACACAGGTGGACAGAATTCTAGAAAGTTTCTCAACCTAGCAAAGAATAAGAACCAACAGACAAAATTTCAAAGACAGACAATTCAGACCAGAAGCATATCTCCGACTTAAAAGTGAGGGTAGTAATTCAGCAGCCCCTGCTGGCTCTCACAGAGCAGGCATTGGGCAGAGCTGCGGCAGTAAGAGATCTAGTAAAGGGCTGGTGCTGGGGGTGACAGGCACTCTTGAACAGGGCAAACGAGCAAACAAATTCTCGTGAGCAGATAAATGGCAGAATTCTCATGTGGAGTCTTTGCACCACGAAAATGCATCCCGCAGGATTCACCACACTGCACCATGGTATCCTGCAGCTGAATGAAACAGTTAACATACAGTTGCTTCCAATACAGTTTAACAGCAAGCTAGATATAGAGCACTGCACTGGAAGAAGGGGGAAACTGGGAGCAAAAGTGACATTTTTGGAAATTTTGGGGACTCTAGAAGCAAGTCTGAGTGATGCCCATTCATGGTAGTTCACCCACCTTACACCATCGGACCAAGATACCCCCAGGCTTCTCAATAAGTTCCTCAATTTGGACAGGTGGTCGCGATGCTACTGTCCCATGACTGAATATTTGATTTTTCAGTACGGTAAGAAGACAGTCATCCAGCTGGGCAGATAGACAAGGCACATCAACCAATGAAGGTACTTCTGGCAAGCTGAGGAGAGAAAATTTGCTATAATATACAATTATAGAATACAAGCTGGTTCCATATTTCATCATGTGGGGTTGAGCCCCAACTCAGTTAAGGGGACAGAATTTGCAGAAGACGATAGTGCATACTTTTAAAAAGAAATACTTCCATATTTCAAGGGGCCGATTTTAAGGAATTAGAATGTCAAAAGAATCCCTCTTTTTGGATTTAGAAGTCTTGGAAAGTAGAGATTGTTTCAGACTTAATGTGGTTGGCCATTTCTCTGCAGTCTCTTCTGGCATATAAGCCATTCCAACGGGAATGACTTCATTATGTAGAGATGGTCCACATTTCAAGGACCCCCCCCCGACAGGGTGAACACTATATTCTAACAGCTACAGCTTATCCCAGTCAAAGTTTTAGAACAGCAAAGCCCAAAGTAAACCTTTGAAACAAAAGCCTTCAACTCAATTACTCTAAAAGGAAAAATTTCAGCTGTGGAGGTAAGTCAATCATTACAAGTGTAATACCCATGCCACATCCATGTCTTACCTATCCAGTTGAATGTGCAAGGCCTTTTTTGTGAAGCTACATAGTGTCTCATTCTGGTCTCCTACACCCCCCTGGACAGCACTCTCTCCTAGAAGCAAATGATAAAAAGATAGATAGATATAGATATATATATATAGATATATAGATATACACACACATACATACACACACACACACACACACACACGCCTAGTGAGCAAAATGCTCAAGACTGACACTTGTCAGTAAAGACTACATTTCTGAAGGAAGTGCAGTGTGTGCAACACTCCTGCAAGCCATGGGTGTTAAATTCTTTGAGTAAATACATAAGATCCCTTTGTAGGTGCATAACATAACACCTGCTGCCCTTTCAAAATGGCTCCAAACGTACATATCCATACCCAGAGCCTTCTGTAGACACATCCATGAGATGGTTAAAGTACCCCAAGCAGCAGCAGAGTTCTGAGTGTTGATTCCTTGCACCCGACTCTAATGCCCTCCTCCACCTACTCTAAAAGAAAGGAAACACCACCCTAAGCAGCAGTGAGTTTGTCAGAATCTAAAATACCTGACAGAACAGCTGTGGCCTAGCCATGCAAGGAACAAGACTCCTTAATTTAACCCATGGGCTCATTTGGAGAAATTATTTTATTTTATTGGGGGGGGGTTGGTTTTTTTGCTAACGTATCACTCCGATATTGTGTAAACTGCACCATGGGGAGAAAAAAGTATGCTTTTCCAATACCCCAGCTTTAATTCCTTACATTTAACTTGAAATTACTTCTCAAGTCACAAGAAGATACAAGAACTTCTGCTCCAGCTCAGAGTCTTTTCAAATTGACCACCTAATGGCTGCAGTATAACCGGTGAGAGTAAAGCAATCAAAGCCCAGTTCCAAATGGACAGGTACTACCAAATGAAAATGGCAGCGAGATGCAAGGAGCACGACTTGAACTCCCTTCTGACTCGCAACAACAGCCCCTCCAGCTCACAGTTACGGCACAGCACAAAGGAGCTTGTATTGCTACAGTCCACAGAGAAAGCCAGGAGGCAGCAGAGTAGTGAGCAGACTGGCAACCAGGGACCTATAAGATCTGACACAGGTTGTTACCAGGTAAAAACTCATTACTTCCATTACCTCATTAAGTCTCTATGCGCAGCAGAGATGCGTTAGTGCCCGTTGCATAGGGGAACACAGAATTTTAAAGGAAAGTGGCAAGTTAATACTTGGAAACTGCCACCTCTCCTGTGGAAAGAGGATTTCATTCTTCGGGGCGGTCTGACCGGTGCATTCCTTAAGCATTAACTTTACACCCAAGTGCCCGCTACTACGTTTCCTGCCAGTAGCAAGCTGCACAATGCATTTTAGTTCACAAAAGAGAAAACAGTGAAGAAAACAAAGCTGAGATGGGAGAACAATGGAAGGAAACAGCCAGCAGAGTCATAGCTAAAACCGCTATAGAGAAGGCTCTCCTGTGCTGGGAAACAAGCACGGCAGACATTCCTTTCTGCCGAGGTATTTGGTACTGCCAGGACGTGTTTACCATAATGGGCAAACTTTCCATACTTCTATTGTTTTCTGTCCTGTCCTCCAAGCTGTGGGAGAAAGGTCTGAGATAAAGTGGAATCCAAGGCCGGCAGAGGTCACCAAAAAGCAGAGCAATCTTTAAGCGTCTGTGGGGTGTGGGTTTATGACACGGCTAAAAATAACTCCCTTCCAGTCCAGGACAACTGCTCCCTCACTATTTGGACAGAAACTCATTTTCCAAGATGACAAATTCAAATCTAAAGTCATTTTCTCATAGAGAAGTTTTGCCAAGCGGCAAAACTTATCCCAGGCAGAGAACGAACATGGGATCGATGCACCACAGGAGTTCTGAAGTTTGAAGATCACTCTGGGCCCTACAAACCTGGGCAACATTTCCACTAAATGTTTGATGATAAAGATATATGGCCACTCCTGAGAAATACTGGCCTTACAATGGTCTATAAAAAGGCTGGGAGCCACTGCTCTAGTCCTTCAGAGAAGACACATAGAAAGGTAAATACAAGACATTATTTGAAATGCCCCTTACCTTCCTGGAGCAGGTCATCAGCTGTACTGACTCCATGTTCTATTAGCTTCTGGCATTCATCCAATGGTTTGATACTCTCTTGTTCTATGGTATCTACTTCCTGCAGCAGTGCCATCAATCGCTCATCCAACAGCTTCCTCAGGGTCCCTTTTAAATCACTAAAATGCTGCTCAAGTACATCCCTCGTCAAAGCTGCACTCTCTTTGATCTGATTGATACAAAGAAAAAGGGTTCAGGGTGACGCTGAAAACCAAGCTGGGCTTTTATCTTAACAAATTATTTCATCAGCATTTGCTTGCAGGAAAGAGATGCGTGAGGACAACTTTTACAAAGGATCACAACAAATCAACAGGGTTGCAGTCAGTCAGACAATTCAATAATTGCAGTATTTTGCACTTGTCCTCCCTTAGAAACAATGAACTGCACACATGTAAAATGGGGAACGCCTGGGTAGCCAAGCAGTTCTGCAGATGAGGTTCTGGGAGTTTTAGCAAACTGAATGTGAGTCAATGTCATACTGTTGCAAAAAAAGCCAACACCATACGGTGTGTTTAAACAGCAGTGTCGCATGCAAGACATGTGAAGCAATCCTTCTACTCTCCTCTAGCAGAGGCCCTCCTACTATTGGGTGCTGCATCCAGTTTTGAGCTCCATATTTCAGGAAAGACATAAGCCAAAAGGACAGAGTCCAGAGGCAAGTATTAAAAAGTGATCAGAGGTCCAGGAAGCCTGACCTAGGAGGAAAAAATGAAAGAGCTGAGTCTGTATAGAAAGGGAAAACTTGAGTGGGGGAACACCATAACAGTATTCAGCTATACCAAGGTTACTGCAGAGACAGAAGTAACAAACTGTTCTCCAGGACCAACATGGACAGGCAAAACAGCAATGCGCTTAAACTGCAAATAAAGTCGGTCTCAGTTAGACCTTCTTGGAAAAGCTTTCTAATTATAAGGAGAGAAAGCACTAGAATAGACTCCCTAGAGAAGTAGTTGAGCCCCACATCACTTCAGCTTTTCAAAAACAGGCTGGACAAATATCCATCAGGATGACGTAGCTAGAACTGACCTGCCTTGGGTCAAAACAATGGACCTTTGACCTCTTTAAATCCCTGCTTCCCTTATCTTCTACAAGAAGACTATTGAGAGTAAATGCAAACTTTGCATTAGGTCAGCCTGGTGGTTTATCTACTCCACTGTCTTGTCACAGCCCAAACCAAATGCTTTAAAGTGTAAACACTGCATTCAGCTGTTTTGGGAATAACATTCCCCTACAGAATATTCCCTCATCCCTTCCAATACTCAGAGGTTGGCTTAAACCCAGGAATGAGAGAGTTTATATCCCTTCCCATGCTCTTCCGTAGCAACTGTAACAACTCTGAATACTCCTGTTATCCACATTAGATGACTGATTATTATTTTAATCCAGGTAAGCACTTCACCTCAAAAAGGTAAGGAATTCCATAAGCTAAACAAACACTGTCTGACAAAAGTTCTTCTTCAAACCCATGTTTGAACGGATCACCTTCGATTTCCACTGCCCATCCCCTTGCTCTTTTCTTACAAACCAGATGAACAGCAAGTCTGTCGCTACATCTATTGCAAAGCTGTAGGCTTGGAAAGAATTTTATTACAGAAGTGTTATTACAAGGAAGTTTACTAAATCGATGCATCTGATTTTAGGAGAAGAAAATATATTTGAATTTACAAAACAAAACCCAAAACAATCAATCACAAGTTAAAGTAAAAAAACAAACACTCCCGCTGCATGGGCTTTCACAAGTTACGGAAATGCTGTAACAAACACCAAGCCCTACATGTCATTTCTAGATCTTTAGAAGCAGACAAGCAGCACAGGAAGCTCTTTGGTTAAGTAAAATAAATTTCCCCTTCAAGTAATATTCATAAGCCTCTGCAGCTGCCACACAGCTTGGTTTCTCTCCACATGTTATTTCAGAAAAAAGGAAGTGTCTGGCCATGTACAGGGGGAGGTGAAGGAAGAAGAGAATAGCTTTCCTTTCCCCCCCACCCCCTACCAATCCCACACCTTTTTTTGATTCACCTACCAACTCAGTGAGCATCAGAAGACTTAGGTTAGAGAAACTTAGACAAACTTTGATTGATGTTAGACTAACTTCATTCAGAAGAGAGTGAGGAAAACACTGGTGTATAAACTCATGCACAGGCTTCCAAAGATTTGCAAAGCACAGTACTGTGCTCCTAAGATGGAGCCACGTTAAGCAGCCCCCTATGGTCCAGCAGTCCCAAGCAATCATTTTGCTGCTGGCCCCAGCTCAGTCCAGAACCCCTGGGGTTTCCAGGCACTCTCACCCCTAAGTCACCGATTCAGAGCTTTCTCTATGATCAAAATGGCAGACTAAATCTGAAGCTGCAAAGAGGAATCTGAGAAACAGATGTTTGCGAGTGCAGCACGATCAGCCAGAGCTGCAGAACGGGAAGAGGCTCAGCACTAACAAATGCAAAATCCAGTATCTCATGGGAGGAAACAGCACTGACTAAGGAAAGGTGAACATAACTTAAGCAGTTACCCCCCCTCACTAAAACAAGTTGGTTTTCCTCCGTCTCAATATGTTTCACAGCACCAAGCAGCATTATTGTTTGGGCTAGAGTCAGCTGCAAGTTGCTCGTTATCTTTAGCAGTCTGCAACATCAACCACCTTGACAACCGTTAGGATTCCCGTACACCAATTGCCTGTTCAATTGTAATATCAGGATACAAAGGTACCATAGAAATCTGTTGCAAACCCGCGTATCAGCTATTAGGAAACAAACAGAAAGCCAACAACATCGCTGAAAGATCACGCCCCAAAACGAACCCAAGCCGCGACCGAGATCTACAAAAACTAACGGCCGTTCAGGCTGCGTCTTCCCTGCAGAGTACTCGCAGGTGACCTGCGATCAAGCGAGAGCGCTCTGCTCCGGTGCGGTGTCGCAGCAGAGCCTTGCCAGTGCTGCGCCCGCCGCGCGTGTCGCCAGCATCGACGGAGGCGCGTCCCACGGTGCACATCCCGAGCCACACGCTGCTCCCTGACTAGCAAACAGGGAAAGTGTGTCAATCTGGACCTGAGGGAAGTATGAGATGCGGTTTAACCCACGTCTGCACCACGAGAAAAGCGGGTTACCGATCTCGGCCTGCAACCCCAGCCACGTGACACGGACCGGAGGCGCGAGGGGGCCGGCGGTTAGTGGCTGCACTCGAGGAAAGCCCGATCCGTCTCCACCGCGCGCTTACGGCAGAGGAACGTGCGACATCCCGCACCGGGCAGGACTTGACGTCACTACGGCCATCCACTTTTTGGACCCAGGCTTCCTGGGCGCCTCGAACAACTGAGCCCCCATCCTGCGCTCGGTGCCCAGGCCTTTCCAGACTCCTGCCTCTGTGTGGGGAGGCGCAGGGAGGC